GCAATGTGAGAACAGAGTAATATGTACATTATGATGACTATTTCACCTAGAAGTTACTTCAAAATTCTTGGATAGGTGGTACTGACTTCTAATGATATGTCTGTCTATCCTCAGCCAGTGCTGTTGAGAGTACTCAGGTCATCCAATCTGGTTGAGTCCATGGGAAATTTGGAGGGAATCTCAGTAAATTAAAGAATCTCAGTTTTGAAAGGGATACTTGGATCATCTAGTTCAACTCCCAGTATTCTAACTGGAAATACTTAGGTCAATTATCTAATATTTCCTTTTCATTTCTGAGTATGAATTTTGAATCTTGATCATCAAGTGTTGACACCAATTCTGTCTTCCTCCTTTGGCAATCTTAAATAATTTTTAATTCTAACTTCGGACACCCTTAAAGATGCTTTCAAATTATTTTTGACCACCACATTTCTAGCAAGTAAAAGTTTGTCTTCCAATAGAACTCATAGAATACAGTTGTAAAATACGTGAAGCAATAATATAACTAAAAGGATAAATAGACATATCCACAATTTTAGTTGGAGACTTCAACACCCCTCTCTCAACTGTTCATAGAACGATTGAACAGAAAGTCAGAAAAGATATAGAAGTGATCTACAGAAGTAGCAGGATTGGAAAAAAGTTTTTTTAAAAAAGAAAAGATATGGAAGTGATGATTTCACACACATATGAAGAACTGACATTTTAGAAATCACCTTTGGACTTTTAGAAATATTTGATTTTCTAGCTATTGCCTGAATGTTATTTTGACTTCCAAAAGATCTCACAGGTCGTGCACAGTGACTCATGCCTGTAATCCCAGCACTTTGGAAGGGCGAAGCAGGTGGATCACCTGAGGTCAGAAGTTCAAGACCAGCCTGGCCAACATGGTGAAACCTCATCTCTACTAAAAGTACAAAAACTAGCCAGGCGTGGTGGCATACACCTATAGTCCCAGCTACTTAGGAGCCTGAGGCAGAAGAATCACTTGAACACAGGAGATAAAGGTTGCAGTGAGCCGATATTGTGCCACTGCACTCCAGTCTGGGTGACAGAGCGAGACTCCATCCCAGAAAAAAAAAGATCTCAAAAATTTGCCTTAGTCTTGTTCTTAGCAATGTTCTTAGTGCCTTAGATTTATTCATCTATTCAGTCATTCAACAAATACTAACGCCTACTATAATCAAGCCATTGCTTGGGTATTACAATTAATTTTATTGTTTTTGAAAAGTTTAATAAGTAAATTCTATATAGAAGAAACTATTTAACAAGAGTATATAGTATAAATAAAATGAACTATTTTGAAAAGTTGTAGGACTATATTAGTCTGATCAAGCTACCATAACAAAATACCACAGACTGGGTAGTTTAAACAACAGAAATGTATCTTCTTACCGTTCTGAAAACTGAGAATCCAAGTCCAAGGTTTTAGCAGGCTGATGTCTTGTGAGGGCTCCTCTTTGGTTTAAAGACAGTCCTTCTTACTGTATCCTCACATAGCCTATCCTCTGAGTGCACGCAGAGAGAGAGAGAGATCTCTTCTTCTTATAAGGCCATCAATCCTATCAGATTAGGGCCGCACATTAATGATATCTTTTAACCTTAAAACCCATCTCTAAACATAGTCACACTGGAGGTTAGGGCTTCAACACACAAATTTGGAAGAGGACACAATTTAGCCCATAACAAGGACTAAATCAGTCAGCAAGCATCCTTTACTTCTTTCAGAGGTTCTTCTCTGGAGAGAATTATGGGACTATAGTTCTCACCCAGCACCCTGTTGTTATATGTAAGAAAAAAACAAAATTTGGAGAGAGAAAATGGCTTTCCTGAAGATCACAGAGTAAATGGGAACAGAGACAGTAGCAAAAACCAAGTCTTCAGTGCACTGTCCTTTTGGTCTGGCCTAGGATCAGAGAGTTACTGCTCCACAGCCTACAATGAAGCTGCAGCTGGCTTTAATAGATGTTTCTACCATGCACTCCATGGACTCTTCCTATTAATCCTCTGCTCAAATCTCCCTCCTCACACTTACCAAAATATCACATCAGAGCTCCCAACCGAAATCTCTGCTTTCTCTTGTGAGTACTGAGTTTATTAGAACCACCTTGGGGATTTTATTATCCTTCATGATACAGGCCCAGTACGATCTGAATATAGACTCTGCATAATCTTCTGCCATCAAGGCCGACAGATAAATGACTCCTCTCCATATACCATCTCTGTCATTTGGTGGGGATCATTTTTTGCATTAGAAAAGGTTCATCAAGGTCGTTGCTTCTTCCAGATTGTGGGTATTGAAGGTATGCTCCCCTCAATATGAAATGTAGTTGCATTTTCATCTACCACTCCAGGCTCTCTTCTCATGACTTGAGGGCTAATGTGCTACAGAAGACCTTGAAAAATGACCAGCTGAACTGGTCAACCCACCATTCTCTCTGACTCAGTCTTTTCCACTCAAAGAAAACAAAGCCCTTCTCTGAAGGCCAGGACTTTGTTTCTACTTGCAACAGGTTTGTTTGTTCGTTTGTTTGTTTTCTCTGAGACAGAGTCTCACTCTGTTGCTCAAGCTGGAGTGCAATGGTGAGGTCTTGGGTCACTGCAACCTCCACCTCCTGGGTTCAGATGATTCTCCTGCCTCAGCCTCCCAAGTAGCTGGGATTATAGGTGCACACCACCACACCCAGCTAATTTTTGTATTTTTAGTAGAGATGGGGTTTCAGTATGTTGGCCAGGCTTGTCTCAAACTCCTGACCTCGTGATCTACCCGCCTTGGCCTCCCAAAATGCTGTGATTACAAATGTAAGCCACCACCCCTGGCCTTACCACACGTATTTTAACATCAGGCAGATGTACAATGGTATCGTCCCAGTACAACAAACCAGGCAGGAAATCCCCAGATACTGGGATTTCTCGTTCTTTCTTTCTTTCTTTCTTTCTCTCTCTCTCTCTCTCTCTCCTTTCTTTCCCCTTGCTCTTTCTTCCTTTTTCTTGGTCACTTTTTTCCTTAGATTTGTAAATCCTTAGACTTGTACTAATTAATCATTCTTGCTATTTAGTAACTGTCATTGTCACTGCCACATACGGCCCAAGATGCCAGAATTTAGTTGATTGATCAGTTTGGTTGGTTGGTTGGTTGGTTGACTGGGTGGACTTTTCTGAGCGTGATGCTTGGTTCATCAATACAAGAACCACAGAACCTCTGGATTGGGTGTGCTGTTTCTTAAATCCTAGCTGCACATTAGAAGAACTTTTATAAAATATCTATGTCTGGGCCCTACCTTCACAGATTCTGATTTAATTTGGTCTTGGTCTCAAAGGCTGTCCATGTGATTCTCATGGGTGGCCAGGATTGAGAATCTCTGGATAGAGCTAAAATTAGGCAACCATTGATCTGATACTTAAATCCCTTCTACTGGGAAATCCAGAAAGATGACTCTCTCTGGATTTTCTTTTTGAAACTAGGATTCTAGGTATTATAGTCTTCCTAACAATGTTCCTGGGTATAAATACTCTGCTCTGTTACTATAGAAGGAAGCAGCAGGTAATGGTTAGTGGTAGACCAGAACTTCCCCTAAAAAATCCAGCAGCGCTTAGCTGTGGCACTTCCTGATGTCAGGGAAATATCCTTCTAGGTCAGTGGTTCTCAACTGAGAGAAAATTTCCCCCCAAATGATGTTTGGCAATGTCTGGAGACATTTTTGGTTGTTACAACCTGGTGGAATGCCACTGGAGCCTGGTGGAGGCAGGCCATGGATGATGCTAAACATCCCACAATGCACAGAACACCTCCCCACAACAAAGAATTATTTGGTGCAAACTGTCAATAGTGCCAAGGTTGAGAAACCATTTCCTAGATCCTTGCCCTCAGGTCCCCCTATTACACCCCTAAGAGATAACATCCTTAATGAAATTAGTCCTAAAGCATTTCCTTCTTTCTGAAGCATGATTTCAGCACTGTTTCCCAAATCAACATTTTACATCCTTTTTCAGTATCTTGGAATGTAACCATCCTGCTTTGCTTTTAAGAAATGAAGGCTGCTGCCTGTTTATGTCAGAGAGGCAGAGTAATCCCAGGGCTGCCTTTTCCACTTGCTGTTTCCTTTCCCATCTGGCTCCCTCCCTGAAATACAGAATGAGCTGAGCCCTATGACCTGATGGAGGTCCTGCCATGCCCACCTTGACCAGGTGCTGCAGCCAGTGGAGCTAGTCCTCAGGGTGCAGGTCACTCCATGAAACGTGGCAGCTGGGCTTATCAGCTGTGAGCCTGGCTAAGTCAGGCCTGCTGCCAAGTTGATTAATAAGCGCTGGGCTGACACTTCAAGAAGGGCCTAAACCTGCTGATTTTCCTCCCCTCTTCCTTAGATCATTTCATTATTAAATTAAAGATTGTTGTGATTTAAACTGAACTGTCAGGCAGCCTAGGGACAAACATGGGGTTTGGTGAAGCAACTGAACCTGGTACTGCATTTACCAAATCAGATCTCAGCTAGGTGCTCTTTCTTTCTCTTAAAAAAATAATTTAGAACTCTAAGGGCTTGAAGTAGAAGTAGAACCTTCCCCTGCAGTGTCAGGAGCCCACACAGAGAGGCTGGCATGACAGGAAAGGGACCTGATTATAAATAGCATGAAAAGCAGCATCAGTCAAAACTCACTGATGTGCCTGAGCAAAATGTTAAAAGAAACAAATAGCTTCTAAAAGAGGAAGCAATGGTTTTCTTTTGTTTTTATAATTTAAAGTGCTAAGGAACAAAAGCAGTTTATATTCATATAGTTTTAAACACACACAAGCGCATGTGCACGTGCACAAATAACATACACACTAACAGATTCCCTTTAAGGAAATGATGGATAATCATTTTAAAATAACAAAATCACAAGTAGAGCCTCACAGAGGGGGTAGCTGTCCTTTCTTTTCTATGTAATTGATGTTATTTATTTAGAAGGTCTATGGTTTACCCTTATGAAGTAATTTTTCTGTACGTGTATTTTTTTTCCAGCTTAGATGGAAACCATTTGAGATTCCAAAAGCATCTCAGAAGAAAGTAGACTTTGTGAGTGTAAGTCAGTCCCATCCACACCCTTCCTACTGCTCTCCTCTCTTCTGTGGTGAGTGAGCCAACCATTTGCAGGCTGAATGCCAAGCATAAGCAGCCCTATCAGGAGGCAGCAGAGACAAAACCACCTGCGTATGCTTTGGGGGCTGGCAGAGCGATGTCTTACTTACAGAAACCATATGGCCCCTGACACCAAAGGGTATTCATGAACTATTTATATCTCAGAAAGGTCAATGGCAATTGAACATTTTCCTACTTACGCTCCTTTCTTTTGGCTAGAACGGGGGCTTTTAATCTTTTTGCTCGCTTTGATAGTCTGATGATGTCTTTGTTTATGAATATATAAAATAAATTATATAATATTACAAAGAAGCTAATGATATTGAAATATAATGATAAAAATACTATTAAAAACAAATTTGATTTGGTTTATCGTCATTCATATGCTTCCTTGTTAATGTGCTAAATCATAATATCTATGGAAAACATCTAATAATTATGGTATGAGCATAAATATATTTTGAGGAATCTATAATGACTATAATGATTTTTATCACTGATAAAGTTATAGGCACCTCTAATACCACTGTAATTTGTTGCCTACATTCATGTTAGTTGAAGGAAATGATAAATTTCACTCAGAGATTAGCAGAAGTAAATATAATAAAATATTTCCCATCCAAGTTCATGATCTCCCTGAAGTAGATGCTTGGGCTAGAATGGCGTCAATTCAGCATGGCAACTCTAGTTAGTACAATGCTGATTGGAAGCTCTGTTTGGTAGTTATAGGTCCCGGGAGTATTGGAATAACTGCCCAGAGCAAGGAGTATCTGGGGGAGAGGAGAAAGGAGCTCTAAGGAAGTGGGACTCAAAGAGACCAGTGGAGGGTTCTGCAGACCAGCCTCAGCTCATGGCTTACTTAGGGACAGTCCAAGTGCCCAGCCACAGGACAAATTGTTAGAAACATCTTGAAGTTCTCATCTTTATTAAATGCTCCAAACCCTGTGTAGACTCACTTAAATACACCCTAAACTTACAAATTGAGTTAAAATACAAAATGATACCCCCATCTGCTTTCTTGTGTGAATTGTAGCTATCTGGAGGAGCAGAGCTCCCTTCTTTTGGCTTTCTATCTGCAGGTTTGGAGCTGAGGGCTATTTTGAGAAGACCCACGTGTTAAGGTTTCTTGCACTGTGGATCATCTGGTCACACAGCAGAGAGAATTACACAGTCTGTCAGAATGCAGTCCTCTGCCCTGTTCCAGAGAGATTAGGCTGACCCTATTCATAAGCAGAGGGCTGCCCATAGTGGAGTGTACTTGAGGGGCATTAACTGGTCCCTGATGCTGCAACCTTCCTCCCCAAGCCTCCTAGATGCCTGATGGTACCTCCAACAGAATCTCTTCTTCCAGTTGATGTCAAGCATCAAATTGATAAAATACCAAGTAATGAACTGATGCTTTGTAAGTTCTTCTGATATAGCCACTGAGACAATCCAGATTTAGGCCATGGCTGGAGACTAGGGTAAACCACAAACTACCAAACATGAGTCAGTAATTCAGGCTCCTCAGAGGCTGCCTGGATTCCAAATGTCCCACCGGTCCCAAAGGGAAGACCCTAGTAGAAATGTACCTCATGACTCTCAGGGACCAGTGGAAGGGCTGCCTCTTGGGCATCATTCACATTAACCTTTCCCTCTTCTGTGGCTCTCTCCCAGGGCCTGCACACCTTGTGTGGAGCTGGAGACATAAAGTCTAACAATGGGCTTGCTATCCACATTTTCCTCTGCAATACCTCCATGGAGAACAGGTAAGTGGCTCAGTTCTAGGGCAGGACATGCCCATCTTCTAAGGGCTGTTGGCCAGAAGGCAAACTCCAGGTTTCACTCTTCTGAAGTCACATATGCACATACATAGTTATTTTTGTTATTGGTTTTTTTCTCAAGGCAATATTGATATATATCTATTGATAATGATGATCAATGAGACAAAAGGCATTTATCTTGACTGATATCCGTGATATAAACAAGAACATCATATAACAATGTAAACAGAAAAGGGAGGATGGAGCCCTGGAATGCAGGAGTAGATCGAAAGGCATTTTGACTTTGAGTCCAAATATCCTTTTGTTGTTGTTGTTTAATATTTCAAGGATTTTTCAGAGCCAAATGTGAGTGACCAATGGACACAGCCGTGAGGAGATCCTGAGAACATGTACCCAAGATGATTGGGCTACGGCTTGGTTTTATACGTTTTAGGGAGGCATAAGACATCAATCAACACATATAAGGTGTACATCAGATCCAAACTGTGGTGTTTTGTTTCGTTTTGTTTTGTTTTGAGACGGGGTCTTTCTCTGTCACCCAGGCTGGAGTGCAGTGGCACGATCTCTGCTCCCTGCAAGCTCCGCCTCCCAGGTTCACGCCATTCTCCTGCCTCAGCCTCCCGAGTAGCTGGGACTTCAGGCACCCGCCACCACGCCCGGCTAATTTTTTTGTATTTTTAGTAGAGAGGGGGTTTCACTGTGTTAGCCAGGATGGTCTCTATCTTCTGACCTTGTGATCCGCCTGCCTCGGCTTCCCAAAGTGCTGGGATTACAAGAGTGAGCCACCGCGCCCGGCCCAACCTGTGGTTTTTATCTCAGTAGAAAAATAATAGCAGATTTAAAGCAGGCAAAAAAGAAAACAGAGAAATAGAGAACTTAGAAACTCTGTAGTTGCAGGTTGACCTTTGGGCTCTGAATGATATAATTTTCCCATCGGTTTAAAATGTGCACAACAGACTGTAGTAGGTAACCAGCTGGAGTACTAGAAACCCTGGCATGCCCTTGAACTTTTCCATTTTACGCAAACACTTGCAAGTAGAGGCACCTTTCTCCTTGTCTTTCCTCATTCTTAGATTATTTGTGTACCCTGTTTTTTTTTTTTTTTTTGGAACTGAGCTGTGGCCTAGGGGTTTTTGGGTGGTGGATTGGTGTACTGTTTGTAGGCAGGACTCCACAGTGTTTCACTGCTGAGTCGTCTCCACCCTCTTAGCTGTCTCAGTTTCTCTCTCCAGAGATCTAGCACCTCTGACAGGCCTCAAAATGCCAAGTGGTCAGCTCTTATACGCGTTTCCGGGACAAATCTTTTTAAACTATTTTGCTGGGGGGTTCCCTGTAGGGCCACTGCACATCACAGGGGATGAATCCCCCAGACACTGCAACTCAGCCCCTAGTCACCCAGGGTGCCTTTCAGCTGGGATGAACAAAATGCCCTTTCTCTTCAGAGCTGAGGAGCTCAGTCTCTCATTTATGTACAAAAATGACAGTCACGCGAATGCGCAGGCAAGCCAGTTGTGCTAAATTTTGGGAGAAAAAACAATGGAGAAGACCATTTAGAATGCACCTCCAAACTGGAAACCAAACATGGTACCCAAAAGGGGGTCATTCTTGTTGTCTTTAGAAAAAGACAATGGAGGCTGGGCACAGTGACTCACGCCTGTAATCCCAGCACTTTGAGAGGCCGAGGTGGGCGGATCACGAGGTCAGGAGCTTGAGACCAGCTTGGCCAACATAGTGAAACCCCGTCTCTACTAAAAAATACAAAAAATTAGCCAGGCGTGGTGGCGGGCGCCTGTAATCCCAGCTACTCAGGAGGCTGAGGAAGGAGAATTGCTTGAACCTGGGAGTTCAAGCTGAGTTCAAGTTGAGAAAAAAAACCTTTTTTTTTTCTCAAAAAAGAAGAAGAAGAAGAAAGAAGAAAGAAGACAGAAGAAAGAAGAAGAAAAATGCAATGGAGAAAATCCTTTAGAATGCACCTGTGAACTAGAATTAGGAACCTAAATGACAACTTCCTAGGAGGAAAAAATCAAGAACTGTCAACGAAACAGGGCTCAGGAGGACTTAGTTCCATCAGAGGAGAAGCCCAAAGTTGAAGGCGCTTTCAATGGGTCCCTGCTGGTACCTTAGCTCTGAGTTCAGGCAACTCCTTCAGGGTTCTGAATCTTCTCTGAGGCCCAATTTGTCCAGGTGCCAAATTATTGTCGACAAAATTAGTCCAACTATTAATATGTAAAATATTTGAATTGATGTATTCTGAGCCAAATATGAGTGACCAGTGACCCATGACCCAGCCCTCAGGAGATCCTGAGAACATGTGCCTTTGAATATCCTTAATTTCTAAGATTCCCCAGGGCTGTTCTTGAGTCCCAGGTCACACTGTGTGAGTTTCCTTTAGGACCACCTGTTGGTAGCAGGCTACCCGACTTTGGCTTCAGCTAATAGTTCTGTGTAAGCTTAAAATTCCTAAGTAGAGGAGCTTATATACTGGCTTTGCAAAACAAAGTATGCAAATGGCATTCCTGCCTTATTATACACTACCTCTGGAACTGGACCATTTGTGTCCAAAGCCCAATGGCGATTTGTGAGCCATGAATCAGGGACAAGATCACAGCCCTATGACAAGGCTCTGGAGGCCTCTCTTTGGGTCAAATTTCGTATCAGCCCACCTCCACTCTCTCCACTTGAGCCACACTGGGCTTCATTCACTTCTTTCAACCTGCCACGTGCCCTCCTCCTTCTAAGCATTTGCACTTGCTGTTCCTTCTGCCTGGAACATTCTTTCCTTTCTCCAAATCCTCACCTAGATAACACCTTCAGACCTCAGGTCAAATGTGTCCCTTCTTTGAAGAAGCCTTTGCTGGTTCTTCAAACTAACCAAGTCCCTATTCTTTCATTCCCTTGAACTTGATTTTCACAGGGTCATTACTGTCTGCAGTGATATTATTCTGTAATTATTTGATTGCTCTCTGACTCCCCACTAGACTCTAAGTTCCACAGGGGCAGAGCCTGGGTCATTTTGCTCCCCATTTTATACCCAGCTCTTAGCTTGGTACATAGGCACTAAACAATGATTTGTGTTATGAAGTAATTTGTCTAGATAATGTTAGAAATGAAAATCACAAGAATTACTCTATATATTTCAGATGCTTTTACAATTCAGATGGGGACTTCTTGATTGGTGAGTTCTGAAGGCTTCAGACCTCCTCACTGTTAATTGACCCCTAACTACAAGCTGCTTTCTAATTTTATGCACATTATTTTCCTTCATTCTCCAATCTCTTATTTCATTTAGTGCAATCCAGAGACTGAGGTCTAGAGGCCACAGGTGGTCTGGAAAAGATTTCTAGTGTACCTCAAAGCTCCTATTCTATTTCCTTGTCTGTCTTTGCCCTTCTCTTCTGGACCTTTCTGATGTGGGAGACCTGGGCAGCTGAAAAGAAATGAAGACTAATACTAATAGGATTAACTTATTAAGGTAACTGTATTTGCCTTCAAACTCACTCAGTAAAAGCCCATTTATCATTAGTAACTGCAATTTAAATTCAAATTTTCATGAGACCATCTAAAATGTAAAGTCTATCAGATATTGTTCTGGTCTGCCTATTATATTTGATGGTTTTTTTAGTATCAATATTTTGGAATCAACATTTTGGTGTATATGTTACACAAGCAAACGTCAGCCTTTCACTGGAACTATCAGAAATGGGTGATTTTCCATCCTATTTCTGCTACCCCTTTTTGGCCATGTCACAAAATTGTGCATATACAAGTTTCTTGCCTGGTGACCAAAAAAAGCAGAGTCATTGTTTTATTCACATTCTTCTAGATAGGAAAATAACTAATCTAAGTTGTCAGAATTTATCTTTTTCCCCAAGAGACTCAAGAAAGCTCTTTTCATTTGGAATGAAAAAGCAAATGCAGCCTTAAGCCTTTCCTGTTCATGAAATGGTTATCACACCAAAAGAATTGCTCACCACTGCCCTGTCTTTTTTTGTTCAGTTCCCCAGAAAGGGAACCTTCTCATTTACACTGAGTTTGGCAAGATGCTTGTACAGCCCAATGAGATCTGCGTCATTCAGGTTGGTGATGTGTCCCCTTCTCTTCCCTGCCTCTCACTAATTTGGGAGCAGTCAGATGTTTCAGCTGCTGCTATTTCCAACTCTAAAATTTCTCTGTCATGTCTGGGCAATGAGAAGGGAATTTTGAGTTATGCAGAAGGTTCCATGTGCTGAAGAGTAAGCAAGCTTGGGTGCCTGCTTTGTTTTAATATAGCACATAATTCTAAAACAAAGACCACTTGTCACTGCACTTTCCTAAATATTTACCTACACTCTGGATAAGGCCCTGTTCCCACTAATGGCAGTAGAGGCAGTGAAGGTGGACATTTTTTTTTTAATGTGGCTAAATCAGGCTTCCGTTATCTCTGGACCCAATGAGAGGGTAGACTAGAATTGGCTTGGATCAATATGTGATTAGGATTTAAGTTTTTCTTTTTAACTCATGTTTGCTCTGGTAACCTCCCAAGCAGCTCAACAAACCAGAGCTTTACTTTTGCATGTGGGACATGCTATGGCTCTGGGCAGCTTCTTTATAACTACAGCTGTGATTTCAGAAGGCACACCAGTGTCTGCTTTCCATTCCAGAGAGGAATGCGGTTCAGCATAGATGTCTTTGAGGAGACCAGGGGCTACCTCTTGGAGGTCTACGGTGTCCACTTTGAGTTACCTGACCTTGGACCAATTGGTAAATCTTCACTGCAAGCCTCTACGCCTCGCTTGAGATGTAGGACACAGATAATTGCATGAAAGTTAAACATCCTTCTCCCTTCGCTGTCTCACTCAAACTTCCACTTTTCTCTCTAGACAAATTCTTCTCTAGACCAAGGGTCTGCCAGAAAATATATGCAGAACAGAAAGCAACCCAAGCCAATCTATTATAAATCTCTCTAGAATAGTATATAGGCATTGGAGATAAAGGCAGCATGTAATAGATTTCTGGTTGCATAGTGTGTACAGGAATGAATATAGAAGTTTGGGTTACTGTGGGCTAGGGTCTCCAGAAACAGCTCCAGAGAAGAGATGAGAATTTGACTAATTCTTTATGAAAAGTTGAGGAGAGTAAAGAGGAAAGGGAACAGCTTTGCAAAAGCATACAAGTGAGAATGAGCTTTGTGATTAAGAGGAAGATCTTTTTGTTAAGTCAGTGAGATTTATAATGGATTCGTTTGGGTTGCTTTTTGTTTTGTATATTGTAAGACTATAAAGTAGGAAGGCCATAAAAACTCCCTGGGCTGTATTCCTATGGAAAGGAGGGATGGACTGGGTGACACATAGTCTACGAACCTCTGTGTACACCCCACCAAATCCACACACTTAGCAGTCAAAAAAGTACATAACTCAGTGCTATGAAGGATCTAGAAACCACACTCCAGGAGGCAGATCAAAACATTCAAAAGTGAACCAAGGTCCCCCCAGCCCCCATTCTTCTGGCAAGCTGGAGGAAGTGAAAATGTTAGGAGGGGTTGTTCTCAAACTGTCTCTTGGAGTGAAAGGAGTGACTGGGAAAATTGGCCCTTGGTTTCCTCTTTGGTCACATCTCCCAGTTCTTCCCTTCCTTGTCAACAGCTTTTTAGAGCAAACAGGGACAGGCCAGTGTGTGCCTTCTGGTCAACTCCCCTGAGGAATCCAAATATGCAGAGGAAGGTGGGAGGCAGCAAGAGGCAGCTGGAGCCGTGGTGGGCCGTCTGTCATCCTGTTCACCGCCCACTCTTCCCACTCTGCTCTGGCTTCCTGCTGCTCTACAGTCAGCATAGCCTCCAGGTTCCATGGAACATGTACCCTCTGGAAAATATCTATAATTTGCTAACCAGCCGGGGGCTTATTTTTTTTTTAACCCCAGGAGCTGGAAATGGTAAAACACTCCTCAGCTCGCTCCTCTCAGAGTTGCATTGTTTTTGCATGTACGTTTTTCATGTTTGCTCTTTTGATTTATTTTCTTTCTCTGGAGGAAACACTCACTCCTAACCAAAGGTAAGCAGGCAGGTCCTAAATACTTCTTCCTGAGTGGCAGACGGGGTTTTTCAGGCTGGAGAGCAGTTTTCAGACTTGGAATCTGAATTCTGTCTAAGGAGCAGAGGCATGCCTCAGGCAACAGCGCGTAACCCTTCCTATCTGAGATCAAGGACTGTCATGAGTTCTAGAGTATTCAGGCGTTCCTTTAAAAGAAAAAGTTCTAGAGTTCTATCAGATATTCCCTTTTCCTCTTTTCAGGTCTCTTTCTCTTTTCCCTTCCCCTCACCTGTAGTGATAAGATAATGCATATAAGGTGGTTTTGTTAACCATAGTCACTCCACAACCTTAGAAGGTAATGCTGGTTTTTGTGAATTTTTTTCTGACCAGATTCCTTGGGTCTTCCTAAAAGGTACCAGACTGGAAATCCAGTGAGTCTTTAAGCAATGAAAGCGATTTGTGGAGTGGCTCTTGACATGAAAGAAAGCCTTTCTCTTCATGCAACCATGGGTGTCTTTCCTATGTTTTGGAAGTTTCTAAAAGACTTTTGGGTTACTGTGTTCTAGGGGCCAATGGCTTGGCCAATCCTCGTGATTTCTTGATACCCGTTGCCTGGTATGAGGATCGCCAAGTACCAGGTGGTTACACTGTCATTAATAAATACCAGGGCAAGCTGTTTGCTGCCAAACAGGTAAAGTAAGAGGGTTGGCAGGCAGGGGAGGAAATGAAGGGTGATTGAGCACTTACTGATTGCCAAGGCGAGTGTTAGAAACTTTACATATATCCTTTCATTGTTATCATACCACTATGGCACTACAGATAAAGCAAATAGTTCTAGTAGTCAATGATACCTTCATAGTCATGAAAAAGGCCAGTAATGATAAATAATTTACCAACTTCACAGTAGGTGGCAGAACCAGCATTTGAACCCATATCTATCGGACTCCAAAGGCTGTGCCCTTTCTACTCACCAAGCAATGAAAATCTTAGCAATATGTGGGTCTCTGTAAATGGTATGGAAAGCATAATATATGGGCAGCATAATATGTTCTGAAAAGGAAATGCGTTAACAGATCAACCAAGATTTATACTCTCCAATACCACCCTATTTCAAATACAAGCAATTCTACAAAACAAGTAGAATTCAGTTAATTAGCTTGGCTTGGTTTTTACCACCAGGCTGGCAAATTCAGGACACAAGCAAAGGCACAGATCTTAATAAATAATAATAACAACAATGTAATATGCACTCTATAACATATTATGAAATATACTGAATATATATTAGAATAAAATAATCATATAATAAGAAGAACCCAAAGATCTCTTCTGTTTAGCATTATTTGTTTGCTTCATTTTGTCTATTTGACTTATTCCTTATGTTTTCCAAGGTATGTTATTCTTCTCAGGCAACATCTAGAGATAATGCCAACCAGCTGAGGCCAACCAGTTTGGCACTTAAAACTAACCCTTGAAGCAGACACATTGTTATTTTCATATTCTCTGGGTCAGGGTCTCTCAAAATTCCAGGGCTATTTGCATCAGAAACCCTCAAGGAGGCTTGTTTAAAATACAGATCCTAGGCCGGGCGTGGTGGCTCACCCCTGTAATCCCAGCACTTTGGGAGGCCGAAGCAGATGGATCATCTGAGGTCGGGAGTTCAACACTAGCCTGGCCAACATGGCAAAACCCCGTCTCTACTAAAAATACAAAAATTAGCCAGACGTGGTGGTGCACACCTGTAATCCCAGCTACTTGGGAGGCCGAGGCAGGAGAATCGCTTGAACCCAGGAGGCAGAGGTTGCAGTGAGCCAAGATCATGCCATTGCACTCCAGTCTGGGCAACAGAGCAAGACTCCCTCTCAAAAAAAAAAAAAAATGCAGATCCTCAGATATTACTCTAGCCTTGCAAAAAATGATAAGCTCTGGAGATGGGACATGGAAACCTACATTCATTTTAAGCATGTTCCCCAGATCATTGTTTACATACAATTGTTAAAGAACCACAATTCTAGAACCAGCCAGTATCTCCTCCAGAAAGATTTGCACTTTCCAGGTAGACCCTGGGCTGGTTATTCTCTGTGTGAGTCCCCACTGATCCATTCTCCCTCTTTGCCATGATCTGTGTCCTGGAAGGTTAACTGTATCACCCGGGCTCTCTAGCCAGCTGGCTTCTGTTGGGTTCAACCCACAGGAAACTGCAAGGCAGGAGGAAAGACAAACTGGGAGATTTCTTCCCCTGCTTCCTCCCTGTTTAGGACTGTGTTTCTGGCAGTAGCTGCATCCCCCATATGACCTCAGTTCCTGTTGGACAGCCCTAGTGGTATGCTGGAGCTGATTCATAGTGACTTGCAAAAGCTGATATGCACACTTCTGTCCAACTCTGTATTCAGTGATGTCATATTGGTAGGTAGAAAATCATCATGGTGAGACTATATCCACCTTAGAAATCAGTAAACACTATATGTCAATGCTTTATATATTTTTTCAGAGTGCTAGTTGTTAAATATTTACCAGCACACCACTGGGTAGCACCCTTCTTTATAGTCCTAGCATTTGCTGAACTACTATAACAATATTTCCCTCCTTATTCCACATGCCCAGGAATGGCAGTGTCTTCCCACTATTGCTAGGCTCAGATACCTCAACACTTCTAGTCATTCCAGTTAACCCTAACCATGCCTCTATGAGTAGTGCCTTCATTAAAATCTTTAGAGCTTTCAGACCCATAGATACAGAAGGGACAACCTTCCTATAGCAGAACACTGATCCTCTTCTACCCCAGGACAGGACCAAGAAATATTATGTGAGGATTGCTCTGAAATCTCAAGTCCTTGGAGTGGGAACTTTTAGAGGCCTTCTGCCCTCTCCTGGACTCACCAACCCAGGCACTGTGTCTATTGCAAGTTCCTCTAGGCTGAAATTACCTGGAGAACTATCACAGCAGGTACTCTCTGCTCCAGGAAACAGAAGGTAGCCCAGATTGTTTGAGAATTGCTGACATCCACAGATTCTCACAGTTAGGTTAAAAATTGTTGAAAAGGCACTACTTGGAGAATGTGCTGTGCTTCTGCTGCATTTGTGATCAGAAGGCAGCTGCAGCTTGTGAACCAGAAAAATAGGGTTAGTGGCTAAGTAGAGGGTGTGTGGAGCAACCACAAAATGATTCAGGGTTGTACTTCTCCCAAAGGATAGTAAAATTAAATCAAGAACAAAATCAAATCAAAAGAAGAGAGAGGTATGCCCAGTACATATTGTGGGATCACAGTTACAAAAGCATTTGATGGTAAAATCATCCTTTCCTGCTTTTTGTGATTAGGATGTCTCCCCATTCAATGTTGTGGCCTGGCACGGGAATTATACACCCTACAAGTACAACCTGAAGAATTTCATGGTTATCAACTCAGTGGCCTTTGACCATGCAGTAAGTCTGAACCCTGTAGGGGCATTGGGGTGAGGCAACCCTTTGGTGGGAGGGGTCCACAGTAGACTCCTGACATTTCCAGAGTCATCTTTGGAAGCCCTAGATATAGTCATTTATCTTATGGTGAAGGAGTAAATAACATAGCTAGTAGGGGAGCCAAGCCAGATACTCAACATTCCCTGTGAACACAGCTTTGTTCTCTACAGAGCATTCGTGATAGTCTGACTTGTGTTTGCCAAACTAAGTGGATAAACAATTTCTTTGTGGAAAATTTATCCCCCAAAACAACCAAGTGGTAATGTCAGTGGTAGAATGAGGAGAAAGGAACTTTGTGAATTTGAAGAAGTCTCTGACCTCACAACTCTCAAGAGTCTCCTCTATGATCTCTGACTTCTCACCCCAGTGCCTTCACTCCTGGCTGTATTTGGCAGTGACAGAACGAACAGCCCACTTCTAAAGTTACTCATAACGTTCAGTGCTTGAGTTTAAAAAAGAAATTCTAGAGCATGAACTTGGTCATATTTTTCACTCAGTTAGGGGGCCACAAATAAGTGTCTGGTCTACAGTGCAGGCTCCCAAGACCCTACATTCTTAATAAAGTGATGGTCCTGAGATCGGGGGGTGGGGGGCAGTTCATTCTGCAGCCCACTTCATAAGAGATGAACTTAACCCACAGGCTGGAAGGATGATTAGAGCAGAAGTCAGAGACTCAGAGGCAAAAGGATCATCCTGAGCTAGTTCAGTTTATCTCTGGGGGGACAAAACCACCTCTCCGAACAGCAGCAACTCTTAATAAAAGCAAAGGGGAAAAGAAAAGTGAGATATCAGACCCCAAACAAGCAGCATGAGAAAGGATCCCGAGACACTGATAAAGCTTGATTTGCTGCTTCACTACCTTTGCTGCTTCACCACCTTTGCTGCTTCACTACCTTTGCTGCTTCACTACCTTTGCTTGAATAGTTTAGACCATTTCCCACGACAGATGCAGAAATGTCAGCTCTCACAGCAATAAGGGTTGGGTTTATTTTTATTTGAATTTACACAGGTGCAATCTTCTCTGTATTGCTGCTATAATTATTTTTCCAAAATTCAGTTCTGATCATGCTACCACTGTACTCATTAGAAAGCCTTTGCAAGTTTTCCATGGCTTAGGATTAAGTCTGAGCTCTGAAGCGTGGTGTTTGATGCTCTTCACCATCTGTCCCTGGACTCATTTTCCAGTATCACCTCTTGCCCATCTCCCTTCTGTCAATGCACTGGGGTTTTAGCCTTATCTCCTCTTAACAAAATCTCTGTGCACTTTCATGTGTTTTCTGTGATTAAAATGTCATTTCCCTTCCTTCCCACTTCCTTAGTCCTTCCTCCCTCCCTCCCTTTTTCCCCCATCCCCCCCACCTTCCTTCCTTCCTTTCTTTTTTTTTTTTTTTACTTTTATTTTAGATTCAAGGGTACATGTGTAGGTTTCTCCGCTCTCTCTCTCTCTTTTAAACTTTTATTTTAGGTTCAAGGGTACATGTGCTCCTTCCTTCTTTCCCTCCTTCCTTCCCTTCTCTCTCTCTCTCTTTCTCTCTCTCTCTCTTTCTCTCTCTCTCTTTTTCTTTCTTTCTGTTCATTCTTGAATACTTACCTCAAATGTCACCTCCTCTTTGAAGCCCTCTTTGACCCTTTCAGGTAGAATTAGCTGCCCAACCGCCACCCCCCAGTTAATGCTAAAGAAGCAGGGAATCTATCCCCATGATCTTTGAATCTCTAGACTCTTGCATGGCATCTGAAAGGGAACATGATCGTTGATTTCAATTAAATTGAATCTCAATCTTGTCACTAAAGAATTCTGAAGATTTTTCAAAAGTATAATCTCGTCCCTCAACCTATTCCATCTTACGCTACCACTATGAAGACTAGTGATGTAAATGATGTGTTTTAGACCTGAAAGTCAAACAAAGGTAGGAAAGCAATGAACCACTTCTCAGACTTTTCTGCCAGTGGATACAATCTGGAATCTCTGTGTTCTCCCAAAGAGGAGCACACCTACACCAAAACTTGCATTTTGCTTTATTTCTATTTCCACTTCGCTCTGAGCATCCCTTCTGCTGCACATCTCAGCTCTAGTCAACTTGACCTGAGATTGAGAAGCAGGCACTATTGGTTCTGAGACCCATGGGGTAATAGGTTGCATGTAATGTGGGCTCAGCAGGGTGAAAAAGTAGTTCAGAATCCTTTCAGCTGGTGTTAATTCATTTTGCCTCAAGCACAGCAAGAGGAAAAAGTCATATGAGTGATTACTGCACCTTGATGACAAGCCCAGACTTCTGTTGTTTGATCAGAAATTAGGCGGTCCCTTTGCAGCAACATGGATGCAGCTAGAAGCCATAATCCTAAGCAAATTAATGCATGAATAGAAGACCAAATACTGCATGTTCTCACTTATAAGTCAGAGCTAAACATTGAGCACCCATGGACATAAACATGAGAAAAATAGACACTGGAGACTACTAAAAGGGGGAGGGTGGAAAAACTACCTATTGAATATTATGTCCACTACCTGGGTGATGGGATCCTGTATTAGTCCATTTTCATACTGCTATGAAGAAATACCTGAGACTGGGTACTTTATTAAAAAAAAAAAAGGGGGTTTAATGTATCCACAATTCCACATGGCTGGGGGGACCTCACAATCATGGCAGAAGGCGAAGGAGGAGCAAAGCCGTGTCTTGTGTGGCAGCAATCAAGACAGCATGTGTAGGGGAACTGCCCTTTATAAAACCATTGGATCTTGTGAAACGTATTCACTATCACGAGAACAGCACAGGAAAACCCACCCCCACGATTCAATTACTTCCCATTGGGTCCTTCTCACATGTGGGGATTATGGAAACTACAATTCAGGATGAGATTTGGGTGGGGTCACAGCCAAACCATATCAGATCCCTACCCCAAACCTCAGCATCACACAATATACCTGTGTAACAAACCTGCACATGTACTCCTGTATCTAAAATAAAAGTTGAAATTAAAAGTTGAATAAAAATAAATAAAAAGAAATTAGCATGTCACTTGCAAACACCTTCATGTATGCATGCAATATGTGTCATTGTCCAGTCACCTCCCTTGCATCGTGCGTTCAGTCTCTCCTTGTGTATTCACAGGACCCATCCATTTTCACAGTGTTGACTGCCAAGTCTGTCCGCCCTGGAGTGGCCATCGCTGATTTTGTCATCTTCCCACCTCGATGGGGGGTTGCTGATAAGACCTTCAGGCCTCCTTATTACCATAGTAAGTCTCTATTTTACCAAGCCACATTTGCAAGCCAAAGAGACAACAAAGCAGTGAGCACTACCCATTGGGAATAATGCCTGGGTTGTTTCTGGACACCTACCCTGGCTTGAATTCAGGATCCTGCCTCACAAGGCCTAGTGCTGATCCCCAAGCTTTAATCTCTTTAAGGGATGGTAATTGTGTTAGTCCATTCTTCATTGCTATAAAGAATACCTGAGGCTACTTAATTTATAATGAAAAGAGGTTCATTTGGCTCATGGTTATGCAGGCTGTACAAGCTGCATGGTGCTGGCATCTGCTTCTAATGAGGCCTCAGGAAACACAATCATAGTGGCAGGCAAGGGGGGAGCTGGCGTATCACATGAGGAGAGCAAGCAAGAGAGAAAAGAGGAAGTCCCAGCCTCTTTTGAGCAGCCAAACCTCATGTGAACTCATAGAGTGAGAACTTACTCATAACCGTCATGACGGCATCAAGTCATTTATGAGGTATCTGCCGCCATTACCCAAACACCTCCCACCAGGCCCCAGCTCCAACACTGGAGATCACATTTCAACATGAGAGTTGGAGGGAACGTACATCCAAATTATATCAATAGTGATGCATTGACTCTGAGCCTGGTTCCCGGTTTCTCTGTCCCTGTAAGAGGCAGAAAGGCTGGTAAAGTTTAGAAGCCTTGTTAGAAAGGCTTCTAAACAAGTTTCCTCACATTTTAGATGTTTCGTTTTGGGGAATGCTGGGGAAATTGTTAGTTAGTCTGTTGTTTTGGGAAAGTTCATCACCTAAGTCTAGTTCAGAGAACCAGAGAAAGAAAAAGAGAGAGAGAGAAAAACAGAAATGTGCATTCTCCAATTATTTTGGCAGGGCAAAGCAGACTGCAGCCTACATTAGGGAATAGACTCTATTCTGGAAAGAGTTTCTACAGAATATTTGTTGCCTAGTACAAGACCTAACAAATCTACTATTTTTATTTTATTAATATTATTATTCTTAGCACCTAATAGTTATTGGCCAATTTCTATGGCCCTGTTACAAGTTTTTTAAAAAACTAACTCATGAAGTGTTTATAGTAATTGTAAGAGACAAGTAGTATTATTGTCCCCCCCGCCCCTTTTTTCAGAAAATTAAACTGACACAAGAGGGATTAAGTAACTCTCTCAAGGACTCACAGCAAGTTAAGTGTAGAGTCAGGATTTAATTGCAGGCTGTCTGACTCCAGAGCAAACACTCATGACCACTAACTGGTATGGCTAGCATAGTGCCTGATATATAGCATGCTTCTAATAAATATTTATTTAATAAGTGAATGTGTCAACAAGAATAAATAAAGTATTTCATGGCTGTACTTAATGAGGTTGACATTTTTAATTGTGCAATAACTAGCTGAAAATCCAATCAAAGGTCAGTGTGCAATTCTACTTCCTGGAGTGTGCATTTTTTTGTACATAGAGTTCTGGGAAGACTCTAAGAGGCATTCCACCTGGAACATTCTAGAAAACAAATTCCTTTCTTTAGTAAACTCCAGGGCCTTCTGTTTATATTAGGTCCCTCTTTATATATACCAGTTCCCAGGTGTCAGGGCTCAACAGAAAACAACAGTGCACTGAATGGCCAATTTAGCTATTTTATAGCATCAGGAATGAAGGCCCTCAGGACGGACAAAGACCACTCCATGGTCAAATGCCAGTATCCCCTTTTCAGATAACACCATCATGGTAGAGAAAAGAAAACAATCGGTTACCACTACAAAGACACCAGCTGTTTTGTGAATAGCATCATAAGTCCCTTCTAAAAAATGTCAAACCTACTAAGGACTCTAACTTTTCTCCTCCTGGAAGTTAGTGACCTACAGGCCTGTTGTCAAGGAGAGAAAATTGCCCTGGCTTATAGTCTGTACTTCACATGCTACTCCTTAATAATTCACTGTTTCACTCTTGTTCTTTTATTGAGGTTACTCTGTGTGCCTGTAGTGGTTCTTACATTAACCATGTGTCAGAGTCAGCTGGAAGGTTTATTAAAACACAGATTATTGGGCTCCATCCTCAGAATTTCTGCTTCAGTAGGTCTGGGATAGGACCTAAGAATCTGCATTTTTAACAAGTTCCCAAGTGATGCTGAATCTGCCTTTTTTTTTTTTTTTTTTTTTGAGACAGGGTCTCGCTCTGTCACCCAGGCTGGAGTGCAAGTTGTACAATCTCAGCTCACTGCAACCTCCACTCGCCAGGCTCAAGTGATCCTCCCTGCTCAGTCTCCTGAGTAGCTTGGACCACAGGTGTGCACCATCACAGCTGGCTTTTTTTTTTTTTTTTTTTTTTTTTTTTTTTTTTGCATTTTTAGCACAGACGGAATCTCGCCATGTTGCCCAGGCTGGTCTCGAACTCCTAAACTCAAGCAATCCACCTGCCTTGACTTCCCAAAGTGCTGGGATTACAGGTGTGAGCCACCGTGGTTGGCCAGAATCTGCATTTTTTTCACTGGCAAGTCAGGGGATTCTGATGAAGGTTTACAGACTGCTTGTTGAGAAATACCGGCCTAGAGCATGTCCCTGGCCCTAGGTGGAGGAATAATAGAGTCATCTGATTTAGACAAGTTTGCTACTGTGCTATAGGGTCTCAACCCACTCCTTAATTTTTATTTGTAGTTCAGACTTCCTGACACAAATAACCTTGAGAGATGCCTCCTGTAGTTTTTTAATGACTCTCAAAGTAAATTTGGCCCCAGGGTAGATCTTATAAAGGTATGGGTACTCTGAGTTAGTTGGAAAAAACTACAGAATCCCAGGTTAGAAAAGAGTTTTCCAGAGATATTAAAAATATTGCCTTGGCAATACTCAAAATCTTTGCTACTTTGATGTGACTTTATTATAAGAGAAAATGGAGAATTATTTCTATAGAAATATTGCCTCCGATCATCTTAATGTGCCTTAGTCAACTAGATTCAGCTTTAATCAGAAAGGCAAGGTCTATCCTCCCACTGTCCTTTGAAATATAGAAAATGATATAGAAATGTCATCACCAAGCTCATTGCTATCTAAATTCATATTCAGATCAAAGCTGAATTCCATTTTGCTCTCTTCTTAAAATTAAGCCATGAAGGTGACCCTGAGGACACATACTAGAGCAAGGAGCGTGACACCAAATTTAAGTCATTAGCTGAACTGTTTTTTAAACTTAGACACTTTATGCTTACATTTGCTGCTTTTTCTGTATTTCCACTTCATAGAGAAACAAGTAGAGCTATGGTCTGGGTCTCCCTCTTCAGCAGGAGCTCACAAACTCTCACTCACTTTGTAGGGGCCTGCAGTAGCTTTCTGTTTCTGAGCAGGGTGGGTGTGGTTGCTTAGTAAATTATAAAAGCATTTGGCACTTGGTTATACTGCACATGTAAGCAAGAGGGCAGGCATGCATCCTGTCCAGTGTAATTTTGTAAAGGTTGCCACTGCCACATCTCTCTACTCCGTCCTTGGTTTACACTCTCAGTACTCTCACAGGACAGACTATGAGTAGCTTTAAAGGCTGTGTTGTTGTTGTTGTTAATTATTTCTTTTTTAAGTAGCTTTAAAAGCTATTTCTTATTCATCTCTGTCTCATGGTACCCAGCACAGTATCTAATTATATATGCTGGCTGGCTGGATGGGCAGATGGGTGAAGGGGGAAAAGGACAGATGAATGAATGGATGAGTAGACGTGTGGTTTGAGATGCAAAGACACTTAAATTTGCTCAGGTGTTATATTTCTTTAATTCCTGCTCTATTGTATTGCTACTCTAATAAAGAGCTTTATTTCAATAGAAGCATAAGATTGGAAGAGTGGAAGCATGGTGGTTTTTGTTAAATTTTGTGTAACTCTAGAAAGCAAACTAGGACCAATGAATTTAACTCATACAAAAGCAAATTTCCATTTAATATAAGAGCTTTCTTACACACAGAGCTCTTCAATAATATGATATGCTTTGTAGAGTGGAAAACTTCCATTCACATCCAGGCAGAGCCCAGGAGGTAATCAGTCAGGAAAGATACAGAAATTTCTTCTACATTGAGTAGAAGTAAGGATCCCTTCCAATTTTAAGGTTTAGGACTCTATGAATAGGGTATCAATGAAAATAGAAAAAATAAAAAAAATCCAGAAGACATTTTGAAGAACAGAAAAACAAGAGGATAACAGATTCATCTATAGAAGATAATATTTGTCATAATAAATAGCATTTCTGGTCTGTTTTATACACATACCAAGATTCTTTCACACAGATTATCATCTGATAATGGACTTTAAGTCTGGAGTTCTTTTCATTACATCATCATCCATCAAAACACACACACACCCAATCTAAGCCTTCTAGATTGGGAATTAGAAATATGGTGTTGCTGTGTCCTACAGTGGAGCTGCTTGGGAAAGGGTTATGATCTGGGAGATAAGATAACTTTGATAGAGGGCTTGTAAGCTTACATGATAGAGTACATTCACTCTTTATTATGACTACCATTTTAATTATTATTGTCTTCTCTGGGCCCTGATTTTCTTTAGATCTAGCCTGATTCCTGTCAGATAGTGGAACTCAAGACCTCTGATAATCCACATGGCCATGGAGTAGAGCCATGCCTGCCAAGAATGCCAATATGAATGTTTTGTGATTGTTCTTCTGTCAATCCACATTCTTTATTAATCCTATACAATTTATTAGTTTCTCCTATGTTCTTGGAATTCTGCAGAAATAATGCTTAAGGGATCTTTGTGTTTTACTGGTCTTGCCTTGCTTGGATAATAAAAATAATCCTGCTTCAACCTTCCCAGGGAACTGCATGAGTGAGTTCATGGGACTCATCCGAGGTCACTATGAGGCAAAGCAAGGTGGGTTCCTGCCAGGTGGAGGCAGTCTGCACAGCACAATGACCCCCCATGGACCTGATGCTGACTGCTTTGAGAAGGCCAGCAAGGCCAAGCTGGCACCTGAGAGGATTGCCGATGGCACTATGGTAAGTATGTTATCTGCCAGATTCCGGCGGCCTCTGAACTCCCCACCCTTGCTGAGAGAGGTGGCCATTTTTCATTTCTCCAAAGTCACAGAGGAAGAGTCAAAAGGGGGAGAGTTACATGACTGCATAAGTACATTTCCATGTATATATACACACATCCTTGTGTATATGCTAGACTTCTGTTGTGGTGGTGTAGAAAGATCTTCGGACTTGGAGTCAGACCTGGGTTCTGAGTTCAGGTCCCATCTCTTAGTTCCTGTGTGATCTTGAACAACTCACTTAGCTTCTCTGTGTTTCATTTTCTCCATCTATAAAATGGATATAGTATCCAACCCAGCAGATGGCTATAAGTGAACCTAACAGACTGTCCAACACTATTCAAATGTAAGGGAATATTATTAATACTATGTGAAGCCTCTTCCTGTATCCATATGCAGCCCTAGGAATATGCTATGTCTCAGAGTCTTCTGCTTTTTGAAGTAATCCTCCAGGGCCACAATAGTAGCGGAGGCAGGATGTCACCTTCAGCACATGTTTCAAACCAAGGAGGGTCAAAAAGCCCTTGCCTCGCTATAGTCAGGGCTTGTGAGAAGCAATTCTCAGCTGTTTTTTTCATTTTTCTTTGCTCTGCTTTGGCATGGATGCAACTGATGGGATTTAAAACCTGTTTTGTATTCCTCCTGTGTCAGGCTGTAAACATTGAGGCTGAACACAATTGCAGTTGGCTGCGGTGCTTGATTTTATTTTGCATTCTTCGAGGTAGAGTTTATGGTCCACGGGGAGTAATTTTATGCTAAATCACATGCAAATTTGCTTTACTTTTTAAAATAAATGCCTTGAATGCTACCTGGTTTAAAATCCATAGCACAGACTTGCCTGCTTCATGCTTGCAAACTACCCTAAGCAGTGAGTATTATCTGTCCCTCTGTCTAGTGCAGTTTGCTTTCAGTCCCAACCCTGGAGCCAGAGTTGGTGGAGCTCCTCTGCAAAAGGAGGGTGTACAGAGTCCCATTTGCTTGCTTTGGCTCTATTTCCCATTTCAAGGGCCTCTGTGGAGTTTCTGTCGAACCCCTACATCTCAATGAGATGCAGTTTGGCAGTCTCAGTTAAGCTGTTACCTCTGAAGTCTCCTGGAGGTGCATTCCTGGAGGCTCTTCCAGAGTTGCCACTCAATAACCTTTGGTGCCCCAATTTGGCTTTGGGTGGTCAATGTTATGAGGGAGCTGTGTTTTACAACAGTGAGGCATAGGACAGGGCTGTTTCTATGAGGAGCAATGCTTTGAATTACTAGTGAGAAACAGCTCTCCTACTAGGATGGGAGACTCTGGGTATCAAGGAGCCAGAATACCTGAGGACAGAGGGTCCAACATCTTACCGAGACCTAACTTTTGGTCATCCTCACCATTTCCCACTGTATAATTCAGACCCAGGTCTATCTATATACCTTATCCTTATTCTTGTTTGGAGTGATTAACTTGATACAATACCATCTTCAAAGTCAGCTGGATGGGGCTTTTGTTAATCCAGCCAAATGGAGAGGCTTTTAAGAAGCAGCCAGCAAAGAGACAATAGGAATAGCCATAATGATCTTTATGTCTGAATAGTGCTTTTCAAATTTTTTATTACTTATTATTTTTATGGATACATAATAAGTATGTATATTTATGGAGTACATGAGATATTATGATACAGGCATATGATATGTAATAATCACATCATTGGATAAATGGGGTATCCATTACCTCAAGCATTTATCCTTTGTGTTACAAACAATCCAACTATACTCTTTCAGTTATTTTAAAATGTGCAATTAAATTTTTATTGACTGTAGTCACCCTGTTATGCTATCAAATGCTAGGTCTTATTCATTTTTATCTTTTACATATTTATTTATTTATTTATTTTTAACTTTTATTTGAGGTTCAGGGGTACATGTGCAGATTTGTTATATAGGTAAACTGATGTCACAGGGGTTTATTGTATAGATTATTTCATCACTCGGGTACTAAATGTACTCAATAGTTATTTTTTCTGATTTTCTCCCTCCTCCCACCCTCTATTCTCAAGTAGGCACCAGTGTCTGTTGTTCCCCTCTTTGTGTCTATGAGTTCTCATCATTTAGCTCCCATGTAGAAGTGAGAACATACAATATTTAGTTTTCTGTTCCTCTAAGTTTGCTAAGGATAATGGCCTCCAGCTCCATCGTGTTCCTGAGAAACACATGATCTTGTTCTTTTTTATGGCTGCATAGTATTCCATTACATATATACATACATATAATATATGTATGTATGTGTATATATATACATATAATATGTGTGTGTAAAACCCAAAACTGTAAAAACTCTGGAAGACGACCTAGGCAATACCATTCAGGACATAGGCATGGACAAAGATTTCATGACAAAAACATCAAAAGCAATTGGCAACAAAAGCAAAAATTGACATACGGGATCTAAATAAACTTAAGAGCTTTTGCACAGCAAAAGAAACCACCAACAGAGTAAATAGACAACCTGCAGAATGGGAGAAAATATTTGCAAATGATGCATCTGACAAATGTCTCTATGTATGTCTCTCTCTCTCTATATATATATATGCCACATTTTCTTTATCCAGGCTGTCCTTGATGGGTATTAAGTTGATTTTTTGTTTTTGCTATTGAGAATAGTGCTGCAATGAATATTTGCATGTATGTGTCTTTATGGTAGAATGATTTACATTCCTTTGGGTAAATACCCAGAAATGAGATTGCTGGGTAGAATGGCATTTCTTTTTGTAGTTCTTTGAGGAATCACCACACTGCCTTCCACAGTGGTTGAACTAATTTACACTCTCACCAACAGTGTATAAGTGTTCCCTTTTCTCTGCAACCTTAGCAGCATCTGTTATTTTTTGGCTTTTTACTAATATCCATTCAGACTGGTGTGAGATGGTATTTCATGTGGTTTTGATTTGCATTTCTCTAATGATAAGTGGATATTGAGCTTTTTTTCATTTGCTTGTTGGCTGCATGTATGTCTTCCTTTGAAAAGCATCTGTTCATGTCCTTTGCCCACTTTTTAATGGGGTTGTTTATTTTTTCTTGTAAATTTGTTCAAGTTCCTTATAGATGTTGGATATTAGACATTTGTCAGATGTGTCACTTGCAAACATTTTCTCCCATTCTGTAGGTTGTCTATTTACTCTGTTGGTAGTTTCTTTTGCTGTGCAAAAGCTCTTAAGTTTAATTAGATCCCATTTGTCAATTTTTGCTTTTGTTGCCAATTGCTTTTGATGTTTTTGTCATGAAATCTTTGCCCATGGCTATGTCCTGAATGGTATTGCCTAGGTCGTCTTCCAGAGTTTTTATAGTTTTGGGGTTTTACATTTAAGTCTTTAATCCATCATGAGTTGATTTTTGTATATGATGTATGGAAGGGGTTCAGTTTAAATCTTCTGCATATGCCTAGCCAGTTGTGTCAGCACTGTTTCTTGAATACGGAGTCCTTTCCCCATTGCTTGTTTTTGTCAGCTTCGTTGAAAATCAGATGGTTATAGGTGTGCAGCCTTATTTCTGGGCTCTCTATTCTGTTCCGTTGGTCTATGTGCCTGTTTCTGTATCATTACCATGCTGTTTTGATTACTGTAGCCTTGTAGTGTACTTTGACATTGGATAGCATGATGCCTCCTGCTTTGTTCTTTTTGCTTAGGATTGCCTTGGGTATTTGGGCTCTTTCTTCGTTCTATATGAATTTTAAAATAGTCTTTCCTAGTTCTGTAAAGAATGTCTCTGGTATTTTGACATGAACAGCATTGAATCTTTACATTGCTTTGGATAGTATGGTCATCTTAATGATATTGATTTTTCCTATCCATGAGCATGGAAAGTTTTTTCATTTGTTTGTGTCATCTCTGATTTCTTTGAGCAGTGTTTTGTAATTCTCATTGTAGAGAGCTTTCACCTCTCTGGTTAGGGGTATTCCTAGGTATTTTATTCTTTTCGTTGCAGTTGTGAATGGAATTGCATTCCTGATTTAGCTTTCAGCTTGACTGTTGTTGGTGTACAGGAATGCTAGTGATTTTTGTATATTGATTTTGTATCATGAACTTTGCTGAAAGTTGTTTATCTGTTGAAGTAGCTTTTGGGCCAAGACTATGGTGTTTTCTAGATATAGAATCAGGTCATCTGCAAACAGGGATAGGTTGACTTCTTCTCTTCTTATTTGGATGCACTTTCTTTCTTTCTCTTGCCTGATTGCTCTTTGCCAGGACTTCTAAGACTATGTTGAATAGGAGTGGTGAGAGAGAGCATCCTTGTCTTATGCTGGTTTGCAAAGGGAATGCTTCCAGCTTTTCCCCATTCAGTATGATGTTGGCTGCGGGTTTGTCATGGGTGGCTCTTATTATTCTGAGATGTGTTCCTTCAATGCCTAGTTTATTGAGAGTTTTTAACATGAAGATATACTGAATTTTATTGAAAGCCTTTTCTGCATCTTGAATAGTGCTGTATAACTTGCATAGCACTTCCATATGATCTCATCCAGTCTTTCCATCAAGTCTGTCACAGAAATTCAGGCAGGGATACTCATATCCATTGTTTTAGGCAAAAAAAGAAGTTAATGTATATTAGACCCCAAACATTAATGTGGGTGCTTTGGGTTGTGGCACAAGATAATTCTATTATTTTCTTTTTGCCTATCTATATTTTACAAATTTCCAAATGTGAGCATATAAAAATTGTAGGGTTTGGTTTTGGGGTTTTGTTTTGTTTTGTTTTTAAAGCCATGTTGGGTAAGAAAAATCAGCAATTGATGAAGCTGTAATGTCTAAGATGCACAGAGTATTTGCATATTCTTTCTGTTGTGGACAAAAACCTCCTGACAGTGAAACATCCACCTTTCAGACACTTCTGAGATATGACTTTTAAAAGTGCTACAGCCATTCCTGCCTTATCCTTCACCTCCCTCTCCCCCTGCACTCCCTCTTTTTTCTTTTTCCCAGCCCATCTTTTGGTCAGGGTCCTGAAAAGACAGGCTCAAATCCCAACTCTGCCATGACTTGTCGCCTTAAGCAAGTTGTTTCCCAGCTCTCAGCCTTAATTCCTCCTCTGTAAAGTGGGAAGTATGCCTTTTCTCACAAGGACATAGCCACAGTCAATGAAGTCCCTGAGAAGGTGGATATTCCCAGGATTCTCCCACGTCTGCCCTTGGATCTAGCAGACTTAGTTCCCTAATACCATGAAGACAATGTGAAGCTTAAGGGCTAAATTTTATTTTACAGAATAAAACTTGAGGCCCTGAGAAGTTAAGGGTCTTGTACCAGGTCTCATCAGCTTACAAATGGTAGGACCAGAGCCACAACTCAGGGCTTGAGCCTGCTCTCCTCACCATGCTAGCACACAAATCTTTGATTTGTTATTGGAAGATTTTACCTACCCATACCTTCTGTTGACATCTAATCAAACGTGTTTATTATCTATCTCACCTCTTTTTTCTCATCCCCATCCTCACTTCCTCCAGGCATTTATGTTTGAATCATCTCTAAGTCTAGCGGTCACCAAGTGGGGACTCAAGGCCTCCAAGTGTTTGGATGAGAACTACTACAAGTGCTGGGAGCCACTCAAGAGCCACTTCACTCCCAATTCCAGGAACCCAGCAGAACCTAATTGAGACTGGAACATTGCTACCATAATTAAGAGTAGATTTGTGAAGGTTTCTTCAGAATCTTATGCTTTCTGGTAGTATTGGGAGCGGGGGTTGGTTAAAATGAAAACTCACTTTTCATAGTCAAGTAACTCAGAACTTTTGCGGAAACGCATTTGCAAAGTTCTATGGCTGTCACCTTAATTACTCAATAAACTTGCTGGTATTCTGTGGAAGTAGTGATTGGTCATAATCAGGTCTTGATGAAACAAACCTAGCAGGTCAGGTAAGTCTTGCTAAGATTGAACCAAGGCCCAGGGTCCTTTCCTGTGTGGTTGACCTGAAGGCCTTCATTCTAGGAGCACAAGACCAGGCATGTGCTAGATATCACAAGACCAGGCCATAAAGCCAAGCATTAAGACCATGAGATGAAACTGGAGGTATGGCAAAGCTCTTAGGAGCCAATCCAGACATGGGGAAATGTAGGGGATCATGAGCACTCCAAACATCCAGCTTTCAATGGATAAGGAACCAGGCCAATAGGTTGTCTAATCTTGGTAGTCACGTGGCAGCCAATATGATGATACTGGAGAAGAACACCAGCCACCAAGAAGTGAGAACCACTTATTTTCTTAGGGTGATCAACTGTCCCAGTTTGTACAGGACTACATCAATTTTTTTGCTGAAAGACCCACATCCCAGGAAACCCCTCAGTCCTGGTCAAACCAGGAGAGTTAGTTATCCTACTCTTTACTCATTTATCAGTCCATTCGGTAACCACACGTTGAGTCCTTACTACCAGCTACAGATGAAGATGCTGGGGATGGAGGGTTGAATAAAAAGAAGCAGGCTCTCCCCTTAAGGAGCTCACAGTCTGGAGAGATAAGGGCCAAAGAAAATCAAGGTCTGAGTACAAGGCCATGACAAAAATTTCCACTGTGTGAAAAGCTGTACCTACCAGTTCCCTTCCTATGGTCAGCATCCCTCCCAGAGTACTGTGCTGCCCAAGACTTTGGATGAGAGTTGATTAGAGTCTCCTGGTGTGAAAAGACAGGCAAATATGAACAGAAATATGATGGAAAATGATGTTTTTCACTACTTCAGTTCTGTACTTTTAGCACATTTCCCCAGCTTTGTTGCCATAGTAGCAATTTTGATATGCTGCTACCAAATTTTCATTCAGTAAGATGTAGTGAGAGTCAGCTATGTGTCAGGGCCTAAGGATTAGGATTGCCAGATGAAATATAAGAGGCCCAGTTAAATTTAAATTTCAGACAAACCACAAATAGTTTTTAGTGTAAGTATGTCCTGCACAATACTTGGACTTTCTTATGCTAAAAAATTATTAATGGATTACCTGAAATTCTAATTTAAGTGGGTATCCTGTATTTTTATTTGCTAAATTTGGCAATCCTACTAGGGATAAGTGGTCAAGGAGATAGGCATGGTCCTGCCCTTACCAAGGTTACATTATAGAGAGGGAGATGACATGACTTCCCCCTGGAGAGAAAGCAAATTAAATAAATAAATAAATAGAAGGAGTTTGAATGCAGTGGCTCACACCTATAACCCAGGACTTTGAGAGGCCAAGGCGGGCAAACTGCCTGAGGCCAAGAATTCAAGACCAACCTGCCCAACATGGCGAAACCCCATTTCTACTAAAAATACAAAAATTAGCTGGGCATGGTGGCACATGTCTGTAATCCCAGCTACTTGGGGGCTGAGGCATGAGAAATGCTTAAACCCTAGTGACAGAAGTTGCAGTGAGCCAAGATCACACCATTGGACTCCAGCCTGGGTTATAGAGCAAGACTCTGTCTCAAAAAAAGATAATAATAAAATAAAGAGAAGGAGACAACACAGTAAACAAAATTATTACAAACTGTGGAATGTGCTGAGAAGAAATCGAACAGGGATTGATATGGAATAACAAATGGTATGACCTGGGAGAGATCTTTCTTCAGAGGAAGGAAGGTCTTCAGTGAAGATGTGACTTTAACCAGACCTAATAGTAAGGAGCAAGTCATTGGAAGAGCGGGGATGGGGAGAGGTGGGAGGGGGAGAAGCATTTTAAGAAAAAGCCTCATGGGTTCAAGTGCCTGAAAGAGGAGTGAATGTGGTGTGCCCAAGAGGAAGCTATTGCAATAGTCCAAGCAAAAATAAACCTTGTCCTGAACTAATGAGGTAGCAACAGAGACAGAAGTGGATAAATTGCAGAATGTTTGAGAGTAGACCTGAAATGACTTGGTGGATTAGATGTAATGGGTGAGTCAAAGAAGAGTTAAGGACAGGGCTGGGAGGACTGCTAGGTTTCTGGGAATGGTATTTCATGGTCTCAAAAACTAAGGTGAAGATATCTTTAAGGCTGACAGACGTGGATACCTTTTTTTTTTCTTTTTTTTTCTTTTTTTTTTTTTTTCTTTTTTTTCTTTTTTTTGAGGCAGGGTCTCACTGTGTCACCCAGGCTGGAGTGCAGTGGCACAATCTCAGCTCACTGCAGCCTCAACCTCCCAGGCTCAAGTGATCCTCCCACCTTCAGCCTCCCGAGTAACTGAGACTATAGGCGCACACCACTACACCAAGATGATTTTTTATTTTTTGTAGAGATAAGATCTTGCCATGTTTCCCTGGCTGATCTTGAACTCCTAGGCTCAACCTATCCTCCCACTTCGGCTTCCCAAAGTGCTGGGATTATAGGTATGAGCCAGCATGCTTGGTCCCAATATTCTTTCATATAAAAAAGTCTATTAAAAATTAAACATTAACTAGCAAAGAAGTCAGTACTTTAAAATAAGTTTTAAAATTGACCACTGTAGCAGAGGCTGCCAGTGGCTTACCTACATCCCATCAGCAATCACCATTCAGTGCCAGTTGGAAATTGCCAGCACTGGCAACTCTGCCTGAAGCCAAAGCCAGAACTCAACCAAAGTGCTGAGGAATTAATGGCCTTGGATGTAGCCTTTAACCCATGACAAATAGGAATTAATGGATTAATATAGCAGCTCTGTCACCTCGTACCTCTGAGGTTTGTGTTCTGCCCTGACTTTCTGCAGCTCCCAGAGGGATTCTACTCCAAGTGCCCACATGGCAACTTCTTGATAATGCACCCATTATTGACATCCTTCCCTTCCCTCTCACTTCCCCACTCTCCTAGGGTGCTTCCTGGACTCTTCTCTCAACCAATAACTAAGACAACCACTAAAATATTTCATTCACAAACCCCAGCCTTCCCCTTATTACTTCATTCTAATGCTATTCTTATACACATATATCAACTCTCACCCATTTCAGCTCACTCTACTCTCAATTTGGTTGCAAAGCCTTCCTAGGGCTAATGCAACATTTCTGGTTGACATCCACTTAGCACCCAAGCCCTTTTACTTTGTCACCCCACTGCTGGCTGCAACTCCTTAGCTGGAGGCAAGATTTCATCCAAGCCAGACTGTTCATACTAATTATAAAAATATTTCATTTCCTTTTGTTGTGCCTCAGATCAGCTAGAAAGTTCCTGTATCATTTTCTTAATTCCCTGTTTTCTAAGATGCCTTCCTCTACCATGCTCCCCAAGAAATATGCCATCTCTTTGCTTGGAAATAGAAAACCTTAAAGAACAGAAAGCACCCTGACTAGGTTTCTTCCAATGACAGGAGAATTTTCTGCCAGATCCCCTTGGCATCTTTATACATATTTTTTTTTCTTAGAGAAGGGTGCAATAACAGCCACCTTCTCTCTTTCTTTCTGAAAGATGTCTTTCACAGCCCGAACTACTAGCAATGACTCAGGACCAACAGTGCTCAACAGAAGCAATTTTGTCCCTCTTACCCCAAGACATCTGGCAAAGTCTAGAGACATTTTTTGTTGTCACAACTGGGGAGGGTGCTCCTGGCATCTAGTCAGTAAAGTCTAGAGATGCTGATAAACATTCTACAATGCATAGGACAATCTCCTACAACAAGGAACTACATGGTACTGAATGCCCATAGTGCTGAGGTTCAGAAACCCTGCTCTAGAAACAGTGGTTCTCCAGTTCGTCTGTGCATTGGATCTTTTCACAGCTCTATAACTCACAGTGCCCAGAGCATGCCTCAGATCAACTAAATAGAAACACTAGTCATGAGACCCAAATATGAGAATGTTTTTGAAACTCCTCAGGTGATTCCAATGCACGGGCAAGGCTGAGAGCCACTCTTTTAGGAATTTCAAATCACTATCCAAAGCACCCTCTGTTTTCAACCTCAGATCCTGGTCCAAATCAGGGACTGGTTTTGTTTTATTTATTTTTCAGGGACAGGGGTCTCACTATGTTGCCCAGGCTAGCCTCAAATTTATGGGCTCAAATGATCCTCCCGCCTCAGCCTCCCAAGCAGCTGGGACTACAGGCATGTGCCACCAGGCCCATCCTGTGTGGTCTAAACCTAGCAAATAGGGGAATGACACAGCAGCAGGGGCCACATGCGTCAGGGATAAGAACCCCTTCATCTCCCTTGTCCAAGTGTGCACGCACCATTGCTCCATCTGTAAGGGCACACCCTTCTATAGAAGTAACTTGCCTTGGTGAGAATTGAAAAGAAAATGTCATATTCAAGTGCTATTTCTTTTGTAGCACTGAAACTTTATTTATAACAATTTGGGGGCTTGTCCGGGATTACATTCCCCTCTGGGGACAGTCTCTGGTTCTCACTCATGAGGAGGCGTGCCCTGCCCCCTTGTGGCGGCCTCAGGGGTGAGAAATCAAGACCCACCCAGTGCGAGGGGTAATCTGAGCTCTCAGCAACACAGAAAAATAAATAAATAAATAAATGGCCAGCAACATAGCTTAAAGGATCCTCGCATACTGCGACAACCACTCTGTGCACAAATCAAGGAAGGAGAAGCCGCAGAAGCAGGTAAAGTATTCCCTTGGTGATCAGGACTAAGGAAAAAGCTGTGAGGTGGTAAATCATTCCTTAGTCAGGATATATCAAGGAGATAGAAATCACAGGGGCAGTAGAGCATTCCTTAGTTGGGACTAGGGAAAGAAAGCCATGGGGGCAGTGAAGTATTCCTTAGATGGGATGTCTTGGAGGTTAATAAGAGGTGAGAAATCCCCATGATGAGGGGTTGAACCTCAAAAAGAGGTGAGAAATCCCCATGAGGGGGGTTGAACCTCAAAAAGAGGTGAAAAATACCCATGGGGGTTGAACCTCAAAAAGAGGTGAGAAATCCACATGGGGGGTGTTGAACCTCAAAAAGAGGTGAG